GACCAGAAACCATAGCAAACGTGTGTGTTCGGAAACGAGTAGCCGGGTATTATCTATCTATCTATCTATCTATCTATCTATCTATCTATCTATCTATCTATCAAAGTCTCTTCATATTTATATATCTGCCAATTCTATCTATCTATCTATCTATCTATCTATCTATCTATCACAGTCTCTTCATATTTATATATCTGCCAATTCATATCTATCTATCTATCTATCTATCTATCTATCTATCTATCTATCTATCTATCACAGTCTCTTCATATTTATATATCTGCCAATTCATATCTATCTATCTATCTATCTATCTATCTATCTATCTATCTATCTATCTATCACCGTCTCTTCATATTTATATATCTCGTTAATTCATATCATCTATCTATCTATCTATCTATCTATCTATCTATCTATCTATCTATCTATCTATCACAGTCTCTTTGTATTTATATATCTAATTCATTCATCTATCTATCTATCTATCTATCTATCTATCTATCACCGTCTCTTCATATTTATATATCTGCCAATTCATATCTCTCTCTCTCTCTATATATATATATATATATAAACTGACTGAGATAGATAGATAGATAGAGAGAGAGAGAGAGAGAGAGAGAGAGAGGGAGAGAGAGATAGGAATTGGCTGGGATAGATAAATAGATAGATAGATACATAGGAACTGACTGAGCTAGCTAGCTAGCTAGCTAGCTAGATAGATAGATAGCAAGAAAGAAAGTTGTGCTAGATAGATAGATAGATAGATAGATAGATAGATAGATAGATAGATAGATAGCAAGAAAGAAAGCTGTGCTAGATAGATAGATATGAATAGACTGAAATAGATAGATAGATAGATAGATAGATAGATAGATAGATTAGATAGATTGATAGATAGCGAGATAGATAGCGAGAAAGAAAGTTATGCATTTTCCTGAATCGGTTAGCGATTAATTTAAAATGATACAAAAACCTGTATTATATATTTTAAAAAAAATAAGTGAAGTTGCTGAAATGTCCGACCCATTTCACCGAAATCAACATTTTCATGTTTGATTGTATTCTGAATCTGAACTACTAATTTTGCTTAGTAGGTCAAGCTTAAAACTTTTCACCTCCTCCTCCTCCTCATCATCATCCTATATATATATATATATATATATATATATATATATATATATATATATATATATATATATATATATATATAAGAATATACAAATTCCTATATATCATACCAATGTTGGGTAATTGAATGAAAAAATGGAGAATATTAGATATAAAGCGAGGAATATTTAACGTCGCTACATATCCGGAATTTCTCCTCAGGGCATATTATAGCCAACGTTTGCGCTTATATTTTTCCCCTCCCCAACCTACATACATATAATTCCATCACGAAGAATACTACTTTAGTCAAAACGCGTTACAAAGAACGTTTTTCGAGTTTGTCATTTATATATATAAATATATATATATATTTATATATATATATATATATATATATATATATATATATATATATATATATATATAGTTTTAAGTCTGTTCGTGGTGAGAGGCAATCGTCAGGTCTGACGATTGCGTCTAGTATGAAAACAGCCTGTCGCCTCTGAGTGTTTACTTCTATGTTCACTTTTATATCTATATTGATATACATATATATATATATATATATATATATATATATATATATATATATATACATTTTAACTGACCCAATTTTTATGCTTATTACTTAATTGATGTTACAAAACAAATGGATTTAGAACTCTTAAATGAAGACATTATTGACAAATGAAAATTGATATGGTCATAATTTATTCCATTGGAATCGTAAATATTTACGATACCAATGGAATAAATTATGACCATGGAATATTAGTGTTTAAGCCTTTTTATTATATCCTTACTCTGTCCTAGACATTGAGTTCTACCTGGATTCTATCCTCTTGGAATTTTTTATTCAAAAAATATACATGTATGTGTATGCACCTATGTATATATATTTATATATTTTGCATATATATGTGTATATTTACCACTAATATTATCTATCTATCTATCTATCTATATATATATATATATATATATATATATATATAGTAGTATGTAGTAAAGGTAACAAATCCGTTGGTATATAATCCAAGTCGATCCTATTAATATAATTGTAATTGTTTATTAATTACACACACACACACAAACACACACACTCAGATATATATATATATATATATATATATATATATATACACACACATATATACACATATACATATATATATATATATATATATATATATATATATATATATATATATATATATGTATACATATATATATATATATGTATGTATTTTAAGACATTTTTATACGTTCTTTTTATAGATAAAATAAACATATAAATGTCTTAAAGCCATTGTCGCACTTTGTCCATTTCATAATATATATATATATATATATATATATATATATATATATATATATATATATTTATACTTATTACTTATATATATTAGTCCTACTCAATGTTTACAATTGCTGTAACAGCATTATGCATAAATAACTGTTTACATGCGTATATATATATATATATATATATATATATATATATATATATATATATATATATATATATATATATATAAATTTGTGTGAAGAGAAACGCGGCTAAGTCGTATGTCTTCAAAATAAAGCCGCCAAGTTAGTATGCTATTCCACCAGGCAAGGCATGAAGAAACCATTCCTGCCTCTTGGTAAGCATTGTGAGATACTCTACAGATGGAATGGCGTATATGTGAAGGGTGGTACGAACAAGCGATGGGGTTAACGGTAATGGCTGAGATGGGTTCGGGTTGGTTCTGGTCGGTCTAGCCCGGGGGGTGCTAAGACAGAGAAACTCAAGAGAAAGGAAAGAAATAGGGTAAAGAAGTCGGCTAAGGAAACCCAGAAAAAACCGGGCATGAAAACGAAATGAAAATGGCTACGCACGACTAGGTAGTGTGGTGGTGGGGGTCGTTTTAATGAGAGAGAGAGAGGGGGGGAAAAGAGAGGGAAAGAAAGAAAGAAAAAGAGAGTGAAAGAGAAAGAGATAGAGAGAGAGGGAGGGAGTGAAAGAGAGGGGGTAGAAAGAGAGAGAAAGAACGAAAGAAAAAGAGAGTGAAAGAGAGATAAGAAGGGGAGAAAGAGAAAGAGAGGGGGAGAAAAAGAAAGAAAGAAAGAAAGAAAGAAAAAGAGAGGGAAAGTTAAAGAGAGAGAGAGAGAGAGATAGAGATATATAGAGAGAAAACTAACATAAAGGGAACGTCAATGGAATATCTATTTTGGTTTGTTTCTATCTATCTATCTATCTATCTATCTATCTATCTATCTATCTATATACGTATAATACCTATTAACTACCAGAGTAAATATACATAAGTATAAAATGCATATATATATATATATATATATATATATATATATATATATATATATATATATATATATATTCAGTTGTCTGAGTTTGTAACCCTGGGTTTCACGCTTTCGCGATTGTCAGACAGTCTGTTTTTTTTCTTCGAGTGGATCTAAAATTAAACCAGTGTGTCTGATGATCTCAAAAGGGGGAAACCCCGAGTTACAAACCCATATCCATGCAACTGCATATCTTAGCTCTATCACAGATACTGAGCACTTTACACTATGTACACACACACACACACACACACACACACACACACACACATATATATATATATATATGTGTGTGTGTGTGTGTGTGTGTGTCATCTGTATATACTTTATGATACATATCTATGTCTGAAATACATATAAACAGAAGGGTTCTATGAGCATATAATAAACACAGTGATATATATATATATGTATATATATATATATATATATATATATATATAAATAAGTTGAAGATGAAACGCAGATCAAATATAGATTGGAATCCGACCGAATGACAAAATAAAGAACAAATATGAAATGCATATAATACTAACATGTTTCATCTTTTATTAACGCTTCGTCAGAGATTGAGAGAAAAGTGAAACATGTTAGATTGATATACGTTTTCTATTTGTTCTTTTACTTTTATGATATCAAACACACACAAACAAATATATATATATATATATATATATATATATATATATATATATATATATATATATATATATTTGCTATTTAGTAAATAGGTTCTGGCCATCCATAGATATGATGTGGCTATGTTTTTCCTTTCATTTCATCTTAATTCCTTAAAATTGTATAAAATCGTACCATATTTATTCTGCATAAAAATGTCAAATCTCAATATTCTTACCATTTTCTAGTTGAGCGATCCGATGCTTAAGTAGTTCAGTTCATTTTGTTGCCTGCTGTTTTGCTTTGTGCAACACTAACATTGCATATTTCTCTATTATAAATATAAATGCGATGACCTCGTTTTGATTGAATATTGACTGAATTTTTCATGTGGCATTTTTTTTTAAATTCTTTCCTCCATTTTCTAAGAGTCAACAAAAATAAAGCATTTTCATAATGGTAAGCAACGTGTAGAAGGAATCTCTTTTGAAGATCTCTGTTTTTTAATGTTGACCTCGCTAAAAGATTGTCCTTCGGAAGTTAGTCTACTCTCTCCTCTCTCTTTCTCTCTTCCTCTCTCTCTTTCTCTCTCTTTCATTGTGCCTGTCTTTAAATTTTTAACGGCGTTAACCTTTCCAAGATTGTCGGAACATGGAATTGAGGTTTGAGTTGATTGACCCTTACGATATACCAATCCTTGTTAAGTTATTTCACATTGAAATAAGTCGTATTATTATTATTATTATTATTATTATTATTATTATTATTATTATTATTATTATGTACTTGGTTCTAAAATAGGTAAATATTGGTCGATTATATTTGAGTCAGTAAGCTTTCCCTTGGTGTGGGGAGACGTAAATAACAGTCGTTTATATTGGAGTCTATAAATATCACAGTCTCATTCATGGTTCCGAATTTAGATCTACTACTACTACTACTACTACTAATAATAATAATAATAATGATACACCGACCTCCAGATTAAATTTGCAAGGATCTATGACATTCAGGCGATGTCTCTGTTATGACGGCGGAATTACGATCTCTGCCATCGAAATTGAAGTTTAACATTGAGAATATAAAAATAAATCTTAGTATTAATTCGCTTCAGGAGTCTGCGTTACTTGACACAGCCAATAATCAGTGAAATGTGCTACTTGTTATTGTAGTACAACTTGATGGAGAATACCCATAATGCAAGATCTCCGGCTAAAAAGAAAAATTAACAACAACAACAATAATAATAATAATAATGATAATAATGAAGCTAATCGCCCTGACATCGTGGTTAGTGAGTGCAAACAAAAAAGTGCCTCCTTATTGATATAGCAGTCCCTGCAGACTGCAATGTATCTTTGGAGATCTTCAGAAAATTATCAAAATACAAGGACCTTGAAATCGAAATCTCAAAAATGTGACGCATGAGAACATCAACAATTCCAGTTGTAGTTGGAGCCCTCGGATTGATTAGAAAAGATTCCAATAGACTCATTGAATGAATCCCTGGTAGCCCATGCCTTAAAGAAATACAGAACATTGTACTCACAAGTACAGCCCACACCTTACGAAGGGCTTTCTCTATGTAAAATATGTGCAATTTTTTTTAATTGGTCAGTGGAAAATGTCATGATCCCATTTCTAACCTTAGCTCTCTGGTTGGGACCCGGAAAGAATTGAGTACACACCAGAAACCAAAGGAAATAAAACAATAATAATAATACTTATTTCTCAGTCGATCCAGTATTTGTTGATGTACATCTCTCTCACTCAGTATTATTATTAGTAGTAGTACCAGTTGTAGTAGTAGTATAGTAGTATTGGTCTCCTCCTCTTCTTCTTCTTCTTCTTAGCTTATGGCCATATCACGTTGAAATACTGGTTCTCGTCTGATCACCGAAGTTAAGCAACGTCGAGCCTAGTCAGTACCTAGATGTATGACCGCTTGGGAATACCAGGTACTGTAAGCTTGGATGTGCGGGTGGTGTAATGGATAACGGATTGGAATTGGAAATTGGAGATCCGAGTTCTAATTACAGTCGAGTTCGTTATATCCGCTTACACCTAAATATCCTTGGGAAAGATATGAATCCACCTCTTCCCCAACTATGGGTTAAATAGTAGGACATGCATCTGAAAAAAAAATATTATCTCCCATAAACATTGTTAATATAATATTCACTCACAAAAATAAAAAAAAAAGAAATTGTTCTTACAATCTAAAAATATGTTTCGGGATTTAAATAACATACAAAATCGATAGTGGATCGGATTGAGAAATTGGAGAACCAAGTTCGAATTTCAGTCGAATCCATTACATTCACTTACATGCTAATACCCTTGGAAAAGGTGTGAATACTCCTCTTCTCCCCCCCCCCATAAACTATGGGTAAATAGCAGGACAGACCGGATTCTGTCGCCTTGGATGGCAACTGGTGTATCGCAGAAAGAAATGGCAACCTACTGCGGGGAAAAAAATCTGCCTCGTCAGGCATGAATCGAAAGGTACATGATCGCCTAAGTGAGTATCACGTATGGCACAAAACTGACTGACAAAAGATTGATAACCCGTAAAAAACAAATTTTCTTTTCCATCTTCTTCTTCTTGGCTTTGATTAATATTATCTAATAATAATATTTGTGAAACATTTTAATTATTATTGCTACAACATGGGAGTATCCCTCGAAGTTAAACTCACGAATATTGCCTCACAAATCTGTCAGGCTACTCTCTCTCTCTCTCTTCCATGATAGATATTCGCTTAGCCTTGCCTCGTCTCCATCCTAGAACACACATTTTTTTTTTCATTTTTTGTCGGCCCGTTTTTATAAGAATACACTAAATTGATAGCGTTGCATACTTCACGCAGTAAAAAGAGTTTATAAGCAAACTCGCTGATTCAACAGGACCTGGCTACCGCTCGATAGGGAAACATTTCCATTAAGAATCTCAAAGAAAAAACAAGATAGTCACAATTGCAATACGATGTCTATTTTGGCGTATTCATTCCGGGACATTTCCTATTTGTTTTTAAAACGGTTGTCCCAAAAAGAATCTGCCAAACGGATATTTTTTTTTTATCTCTGTAGTGTTTTTTTTTTTTCCGTCTAAGAATAGTTGTAGTCGTAATGGTGAGAGCGGAGCTCGGGGTACTGGTTACCTTGGTAACGACTGTTGCTTTCTCTGCAAGACTACTACGGGTTTTACAAGTATTTGGGTAGTAAGCTATACATTTTTTTTATTATTTGAAAAGGGGTCACTCTCACACTCTCTCCTCCTTCTCCTTTTATTTTTGGTAACGAAGCTCGTGAGCCAGGTGTTTGTGATACAGTAATAAAATGTGGCCGTTGCGCACTCTTCTATATAAACGTTTTAGATGTTGCTGATTTTACAAGTATGCGACGGTATGCGTGTACAGGTCTTAGATAGACATTCATGAGGGTTCATACTATTATTTAAAAATTGTATCAACAATATATAATTGCGGATGGAGTAATTGGGTTACATCAACAATCTCTCTCTTATACATTATATATATATATATATATATATATATATATATATATATATATATAATGTGTGCTTGCTAGTGTTTTCTTGGCAATAACTTCTTTTTTAAAGTACCGATATATAAATCAGCATACCAAATAGATAAAATGAATACCTTATACAGGCAAGATAGATACATGTGTTGACTAAAGTGAATACAGAGGTCAACACAGAGCGGCGACAGTCTGTTTAATGCAGTCGATCTGTCAGGCATGAAACGTGTGTACTTTCATATTTACTCGCTCTATCCCGAATGTTGAGCAGGTTTACCCATAAATATAGCATACCTTAAAACTATATTTTATTAAGTAATTCAATATATATATATATATATATATATATATATTAGTAGTGAAATGGAACAGGTAGAGACATATAGATAGATACCACCATTGATATGAACAGACTTACATAAAAACATATAGATAGATATGAACAAATACTTAGATAGATAGATAGATAGATAGATAGATAGATAGATATTGCCAGAATAAGTGAATGCCAAATAAGTAACAGTAATTCAACGGGTTAAGCTACAAATACAGAATCTAAGAAAAACTTTTAATCCCAAAATCCTAAACTTTGTGCGCCTCGAAAATGAAGACGAAAGAACTCAGAAAATGTTTTGCAAAGCAGGAGTTTTAAGTACACAGTTAAGTACTAGACGATGCTAAGGGGGGGATGAAAAAAAAGAATAATAGTCCTAACTGCGTCTGAGTAAAGCATTGCTAAAATACGGCCATAGCTGTGGTAGTGGTAGTTGTAAGCAGAACTTCTTGGAAGCAGGCACATGAAGAAAATAAAAAAAAAAAAAGTACCAGAATGTTTTGCGAAGAAAAGAGAAAGAAGTTGTTTGAAAGCGTGAAATGGTGAAGCAGTCGAGGGAGCGATAGAGAGAGAGAGAAGTAAAAAAAAAAAAAAGAAAAAAAAAACAGCGTTCGCGAGGAATCATGGGTAACCTTTGGCATCCATATGTCGAAAATACTTAACTAACAAGCGTTTGTTGAAAGAATTTTTTCACGAGGTACCCCTGGTTTTTTGTTAGGTTTGGTTTGAATCAAGGAATTACTTTCTGCTAGGAATTTGTCGAAGAGACGTCGCCAGGAGGAATACATGTAAACGGTAAAAGAATACTTTTTTTTTTACCCTCGGGTTTTTACGTACCTTTCAAAGACTAACAACGCTTCATTGAGAAGATAGAATTACTTGTCTACACACCAAAAACCACGTTCGTGGATGTTTTTTTGTATACAAACTGATGTTTGAAATATGTTAACGTGCGTTTGGTTCTAGTATTTAAAAGATATAAGATATCCGTTTTCCAGAAAAAAAATCTGGTATATATATATGTATTTTTAATATTTATAAAACAACGACACCAACAGAATTAGAGACTCGTTCACTGGAGCAATTTATTCGGACGTTTAACTGAAATCCGAAGTCGGACAGTTCAATCAACAAGCATAAAGAAGTGTATAAAAGTTTCCTGAAAGAAAAATACTGAGAAACGTAAGAAGAGACAAACAACACAAAAGGAAAGAATAGATTGACGAGTCTAAAAGAAAAAAAAAGTTTAAGTATAAAAAAGAAACTTCATATTTTATTAGGGCTTTTTACAAAGTGAAAGGTCTAGACTGAAAAAGAGACTAGATTAAAAAAGAAAGAAAATTATCGTGTAAAATTAACGGAAGAATTTAACAAAGAAATCTTGTGAACGAAAGAAAGAAAGACGGAAAGAAATTTTAAATAAAAAGTAAAAAGAGAGATAAACGAAGAAAGAAATCCCAGAAGTTAAGGAAATACTTATTTTTGTAAATAAGACAAAGTTTGTGTTTGTTTTTTTACATTTTTTAAAGATAATTTTGCCTAAAAAAAAAAACAAAAAAAGAGAAACTAAATACAGAAAATAAGAGGAAAGAAAAGGAAAGAAGACAATTTAAAAAGAAGAAAAACGCAAAAAGCAACAAAGAGCAAAACAAAAAAAGAAGGAAGAACGAGTTAAGGAATCATAGACAAGGAAAGAATTAAAGATATTCCCAAGATTCCGAAAACGTTTGTCACAATTCTTGCACAGGACTTAGGAAAAGTTTCAACTATAGACACGTTAGTGTCTTCAGATGCGAGATTGTCGGAAGCCGTCCTGACTACCGAGGGGAAAGTTCACTACCGGGACGAATCTGTTGGTGGAGGAGGAGGAGACAGAGGTGGCGGCGGTGGAGGAGGAGGAGGAGGAGGGGGAGGGGAAGGAGACGGAGGAGGCGGAGGGTCGACCGTTGTAGAAGAGGACGAAGAAGAGGAAGAGGAGGAGGAAGAAGAGGACGACGACGAAGAGGAAAGAGTCGTAGGTCCGGCAAGAGGAGGAGGAGGCGT